GTTTCGGGCCTAGACCCTTAGGCCCGAAACGTCAGCCTTCCTGCTCCACTGATGCTGCTTGGCCTGCTGTGTTCATCCAGCTCTACACCTTGTTTTCTCAGATTCTCCAGCATCTGTAGTTCCTACTATCTCTAATTATAATCTATGTTTGTTTATAATCTGTTTGTAACAGTTGAAATGTAGTTTGGAGTTGTTTGCTAATATTCAGATGTACCTTCAAATGTGGTTTACTTTGGCTGGTCTTAACATTAAGGTTTTCATCATTTCTTAATTATTAATCATGACCAGTTGTCTAATGTGAAAGATTTGGCACATGATTACCTTCATTTTGTTAGCCGTTGGCATTTGTTTAGTAACTGCCTGGAAATGACAAGTTCTAACAAAAGGGGGGCTTTGGCATTTATTGGTATTGCTGTAAACACTGGATGCCATTGATATTGATCCATAATCAGAAACATTCATAGATCAACCATATAAATGCTGTGGCTATCAGAGCAAGTCAGAGACAAGTTACTCTGCAGCATGTAGCTCACTTTGTACCCCAAAATACTGTCCTTGACCTACATGGCACAAGTTGGCAGAAGCTAGAATATGTTACACATTCTTAGATGAGCATAGCTGCAATAACATGTATTATCCCTTGATATTCAATAGCATTACCATTGCCGGAAATAGGCGCAGACACAGGTGCACTTGCACACTGGCAGAGACACAGGCACAGGGACACACGCACACCCCACTTGAGGATTACCATTGACCAGAAACCAAACTGGACCAGCTGTTCTACATAAAACACCAGAAGCTAGGAATCCTGCAGCACATGACACACCACCTGACTCCCCAAAAGCCTTTCTACCACCTCCAAGGCACGGGTCAGGATTGTGATGTAATATTATTCATGTACTTGAATGAGTGGAGTTCCAGGAACACTCCGGTTTGACACCATCCAAGACAAAACACTCACTTGTTTGACACCACATTCATAAACATTCATTCCCGACAGTATTGATGCTAAGAAGTAGCAGCTGTGTATTATCGACAAGATATGCTGCAGAAATTCACCAAGGTATCTAAGACTACCTTCCAAATCCACAGCCACTACCATCTAGAAGAACAAGGGCAGCAGATGCGTGGGAGCACTTCCCTTTCCAAGCCATTCGCCATCTGTTTTGGAAATATATCACTGTTCCTTCAGTGTAGCTGAATCGACATCTTGAAACTCACTCTGAAACAGTATTGTGGGTGAGCGTGCATCAAATCAAAGCAGCAGTTCAAGACAGCTCACCGCCACCACCTTAAGGGCAACATAAGAATAAGCAATGAATGCTGGCCCAGGATGGAATTTGTTAACTGCATTATCTATTATCTATAACAGTGCTTCCCAAACTTTTTCTTCCCTTGACCTCTTTTCAAGGCTTGAAAATTATCCCTTTGATGACATCTGAGACACTAGGGGCAAAGGAGGATGAGAAACCTAGCAGAATAAGTTAGGGCATGGACCGGCATGGACCATTGTTCTATGGAGCTTACTACCTCACTTGGGTCTTGACCCCACTTTAGGAAACCCTAATCTACAAGCTGCACTGTTTTCTGAAAAAAAGAAGTATTCATTGTCAGTTATGAAAGATTTGACACATTCTTTGTTTCTCCTCAGTCACGGACGCCAGCTTTGGTTTTTGAACATGTAAACAACACAGATTTCAAGGTAAGATTGTGCTTTTTGTGAGGTAACTTGGGTGCCAAAAAAAAGATGTGGTGCTCATCTCCTGTTCTCCTCTGCCCAACTCCCTGGCTTCACAAAAATTAACCAGTGAGAAAAGGGACTTTATTGCAACCCTTTCCTACAGTGTTGTGCACTTGTCATCTCAATATTGCTACTTCTTTTAGCAGATTGGAGGCTACAAGGTACAATCATCAATATTTGTTCTCGGAAAATTGTAGTCTTGAACTTATTGTTTCATCCCTACAGCTAGTGATTTTGCTACTTTACCGTAGAGATTCCTACCCCCAGTTCTGTTATTTAGTAACTTCCTGAAACTGGTTTCATTATTCCCACCCATTCTCTTTCTGGTTCCAAGCTTGGCTGTTTAGCATTGATAAATTTTAGTTTTTAATTCAGCTGAAGACACTTATTAATTCTGTTTATCAAATGTCAAAATTCTGTCCTTCGCTTGCATCAAAGTGCATCATACTTTCCAAGTGTACTTTTCATCTGCACATTATTTGAAGATGAGCAAATTTATAACCGAGACTGTACTTGCTAGAGGAGCGAAGGAACTTCCTTATTAATGGCAAATACTTTCTACTTATCCCTACATAAATTTCCCTGACGGTCTGAACTCATTTAATGACACTGATTAGCTGTCAAAAGACAGTTAACCTTGAATTCATCCATAACGCTGTGGTAGGAGTTGAAGGTCTTTTGATTTTCATCAGGTGATATTCTGTTATGATCTCTTCCATTCCAGTGTAACTTAAATCATTTAAACATCTATCCAGTACGGACTCGAGCCTTCTTACTTCTGCCTCCACTTTGGTCTGTATTGGAATTTTATTTCCTACTTCATCCTCTGTCACTTTGTCAGCACACATTTTGTCCCCCCTGTCTCTGGTACATTGAGTCCTCTACCTCCCATCCAATTTCTATCTCAAATAATCAAGATTCTTGCCACACTACTCTCCAGGACATATAGTCTTGAATCCCCTGTTCCTTTATATAAGCCCATATTAACCTTTCTTGGCATTTTTTGAAATGCCTATAAAGAATATTTGATGCTCCTTCGTTACAAGCAGCAACTCCAACTGCCAATTTCTCTTCTCTTGTTGATCTTCTGACGTGCATGCATTCTCAGGGGTTCACCTGGCCACCCTCCTTTGCATCCTACTCAGCATTAACTGCTTGAACTCTGCCCCTCTTATTATTTCCCTTTAAAAGGGCAAGGCCCTTGTCAACCACATTTTGAATGACTACATTGACATGCTGACTTAGACTGAAACTTCTTTTATGAATGCAATCCCTGTCACTACTTTGTAGCACCTTCCCTACCCAAACAGCTATGTGGCTTTGTGTAGTGTTTATCACCAAATGACACCTTAGTCTACTGCTTCTCTGGTTCATTATCTATCCACCACCACCCATGCCTCCCCCTTCCCAGCTACTGCCCTTGGTGATTTCAATCTCTTTCTCAGCCCATTCTGACCTCTGTCTTTAATTCAGTACCTTCTTGCCCTCCCTAAAGTTCTCCCTCTACTTAAATGCTCCTGCCCTTATTCAAAGTGACAATTTCAATAGTGCCAACTCTTTGTTACATTATGCCTGCGATCTCCATCACAAGCAAGGTCATTTCCAAATAAACTCTGTTTCTTCCCAAATACATTACCCACTTTTTCCTGTGACTGTCCTAGGGAAAACTATTTCACAATACTTAGAGCTACACTTTGTAACTCTCACTTAGTAAGACGTTACTCCTCTGTTTGCCAGAATACTTCTGCAGCACCTTCCCCTCTACCTTTGCTGCCCTTGTTTTCCTAAAACCAACATAAATTCATCTAACCTCCTGTAAAAAACCTTACCCCTCCAGATCCATCCTACAAGCTCTCATATTTGGTTAATCTAACTCTGGCCTTTTATGCATTAATGCCCCAGCATTATTAGTTGTGTTTCCAGCTGCAATTTTCTTCTGAAACCTCTCTGCTCTTTCATCTCTCTCTTGTTTAAAGACCCTGTTTTCTGGGAAATGTCAGAGTGAACTGGAAGACCAATAATGCCCTTGTCAGGATGTGCAAAGTTTTCTCTCCAATCAAATTTGACTACGTATAAAAATCAGTGCTCTTCAATCTGTTTCATAGTCTGTATGCAGCACTTTGATACTTATCTGAAAGACATGAGAATTGGCAACTTATCTATCTTTACATTAATGTCACAACTGAGATTGTGAATTAGTTTAGGGGAAGTGTGAATATAGATTTTTTATTTCAAAATTATACTTTATTTATAAAAAAGGTCTATATAGTCATTAGAGCAGTTCGATTCTGGACAGTCTTTACATTTGGAGGACAAACAAAACGAAAGCATTTCTTTCTTATTCAAGACTATGTTTACATACTTATGAGGCACCAGGAGGACCCAATAACTGAACGGCCCCCCCATTTAACTTCGACAGAAAGACATTAGATGGTGATCTTTCCCCACTGCGCCTTGGCGGCAACTGCCCCTAGCTTTATTTCCATCTGTCCATCACATTGAATAATGGTACTGATGCCCTTTAAAGCATTCTCAGTTCCTTTCGGTATGCTGTAATTCTTTTCACAATTGAAATGCATTTATAGTTATGTTTGCTATGGACAAGAAATGTATTTTGAACTTCATTGTGCATGAAATTTAGTGAATTTAATTTTCAATTAAACAATCTAAGTTGGTTCTTAATCTTTTCTTGTATGTATTCCCCACAGCAGCTGTATCAGACCTTAACAGATTATGATATACGGTTCTATATGTATGAGATTTTGAAGGTATGTTGAAGTTTCCAGAGCTTTGATTTAAAAGTGAAAATGCTTAACCTAGTACAGAAAAGGATTATGCTAGTATTCAACCTCTCAGAACACAAGTGAGCTTCTTTGACTTGAGCACTAGTTCAGGGTTCCAGAAATGATGCCAGCATCCTAGGCTATTCCTAGATTTACGGAGTTTTTTTTGTGACGTGTGTCGGTATTTGCTTTGGTTGTGGCTTCCAATTGTTTTAGGCAATGTTGCAAGAATTTTGATGATTGGAATGTCATTAGTGTGGGTTCACTGAGGAACCTCATGTTGATTAAAGAAAAATGGTACTTATAGGGGACTTGGATTTACTGCTGATTTTGATGAATCTGATGTAATGACACAACTGTCAATGTTCAGGATTTGTAGAGTTTGGATATTTAAACTAATTCATATTTAAATTAATCAAATAAACTGTAGTCTGTTTTAACCAGTGGGTTCTTCAAAAATTATAATCTGCGAATTCAGGTGACAGATGACAAACACTCAAATTTCATCTTGAGCAATCAGTGTTGTGAGTCTTGATTAAACTATTGGTTCTGAAGTGCCTCTTCTATTTCTTCACATGGGGATTTAAACTGTTTCAACCAGACATAAATGTATAATTATGCATTTGTAGCTGTGGTGAAATGCCCAGTTTATCAATGTGGCAACATACATCCTGGGTGATGTCCTCTTCTAGCTTGAGCCTGCTACACATGGTGGGGCCAGCTACAGTGCTGAATGAAACCCAGTTGAAGAAGTGCTTCCCTGCTCTGATTAATCCTCCTGAGCACTTTGTAAACTTTCTGAAACCTTGTTAATGTTGGGAGAAAGCAAATAGGGGAGGCAACGGCCTAGTGGTATTAATGCTGGACTGTTAATCCAGAGACCAGACAACATTCTGGGAACCCACGTTCGAATCCCACCATGGCAGATGGTGGAATTTGAATTCAGTAAACATCTGGAAATAAGAACCTAATGATGACCATGAATCCATTGCTGATTGTTGGAAAAACCCATTGATTCACTAATGTCCTTCAGGGAAAGAAACTGCCATCCTATGTGTGACTCCACATCCACAGCATTGTGGTTGACTGTCAACCGTCCCCTGGACAATAAATGGGCAACAAATGCTGCCTAGCCAACGATGCCCTCATCCCATGAATGAATAAAGAAAAAAAAATAGTAAAATCTGCTGTCCAATCATACAAAATAGCCACTGAGAATGTGAGGCCCTGCTTGTTAATGTAAGCTGGTGCACAGAACGTCATTTTGGAAGGTAAGTAATATTTTCAGACTTGGTATCAAATACCTGGTGATATGAGAGCAGTTAAAGTTCCTTTTTGGTATAAAACCTAAGTGTCTCATATTTGTGCTTTAAAAACAGCATGTTACTTGTCAATTCAACTGAAAATCAAGATCAAACTGTGTGATTTTAGCTATAATTGTAAGGTACAGTGTAATGGTTATACCATAGAGTGGTTTGCATGCAATTGGCCATTAATGTAAGTGTTTATACTCTGTTAATTACTATCTGTGGCAACTAGGAAAAAGTTGAAGTTCAAGAAAGAATATTTACTATATACATGCACCACTTGATTTATTTAACATGTAGAAGAGTAGGGGGGGTCGTGGTTGGTAACTGACAATGTGGAACTGCATGCTAGATCCATTTTGAACGTTGGGTAAATCCAACTTATTTCAATACCCATGCTGATATATCATGTAAAATCACTCTTACCCATGCTTGAAATTTGTTTTCCTCCACCTAGGAAATATACTTATTGTTCCTAAGCATTCCTTAGTTTGTTGTTCATGTGTTTGACATTTTCATTTGTTCTTTGTTTATAATTAGTAAGTAGATTGTGTTGATTTTTGGTTTTTAAACTATCCAGAGCATTTTTTAAAACAATCCAAATACTTGTTTTTACCATTGACAATTGTACGCCAGACATGAAAATGTTCTATCCTTCTGACTTCTCCGTATGGAATTCTGCCCTTTGAAATGTTGTTCAGATCTCTGCCTTCCTTGGTATCTCAGTTGATTTGATCCCAGGGAAAGCCTGACTTGGTGGGCCCCACCTTTCTTGACTTTAAAACAAGAAAAACATTAACTGCGTTACCAGACAAAAAGGGTAGAAATTTGTCATTGCAGACATTGAAAAAGAATTCAAGCTCATGCTATCATTTTTTCCCCCTCATCAAGATCCTTAAAATACCAATAGTTGAGTGCAGAGTTATCACTATCTCCATACTAAGGCTCTTTTTTCAGACTCGGAGTGCTACAGCTGCAACTGGTTTCCTTTTAGGGAATTTCTGTGCAGTCACTAGATGCTTTTTTCTTTCATCTGGTATCTCATTCCTGAGACGCCTAAAAAAAATTGTGGATTATACTCACTTACTTTAATTTCAGAGCAAGTGCAAGTTCAGTTTCCAGCGATTTTGCCTTCACCTGTGGATTGTTCTGTTTCTCTGTCACTGGATCCTTGTCACCAGGCAACAGCACATTTTGTTTATCTTCTGTCTTTTTGTAATGCACTGAACTAGTTAACCCCATCTCTACTTCAAAGTTATAAAACCTCATTAAGATTCATGTAAACAAAAAAAGCATCAAGATTTCTTGGTACCATTCTCAGAAATGCTTTAAAATGAAGCTAAACTATGTCTCTCTCTTGTTAAAAGACAAAAATATGAGATATAAATTCAAATTGTAGTTTTATAGTTCTTAACACTGTCAAACTGTGTTTCCTTCTGCTGCAGATGGAAATCCTGTAATTTTTGTTGGTGCGAGTTGGAAATCATAGCCAAAATGCAGTGTCAAGGGACCTAAAGAACCAGTCTTGAGCAGAGTGGGTTGTGGGGACAGTGTTCAGACATTCGTGGCAACAGGCTGAGGTTTTACTGATGACATTGGTGGAACAAACATGTCAGGAATTCCTTAACATGATTCCTTGTTACAAGAAACTTTCTGACCTTTCTGTCTTCACCCCTACTCATCCCTTATATTCTGGCTGATGCAGTTTTCCCAACACACTCATCTCTTCTAATCACGGCCCTGAACTGCTCTGGTACATGTTCGAGTCTTTACTGCATTGTTTATCTACACCCCTGGACTGTAATGATTCAGAAAGATGGCTGGCTGCCACCACCTCAAGATTGATTGGAAATAGGCAATAAATGCTGGATTTGCCTACACCACTCATCTCAAAAAGGAATAAATGTGACTTGGGAGCAGAGTACAGAGTTGCTGCTTCTCTGTAGGAGCATGTGAAGGCCATGCAACTCCCCAAGATTTATCCAGATCATGAATTACTTCAGTTCTGCACTTCAGTTTACTTGCTGTAGTTCCATATCTTTTGATATCCTAATAAAAATCTGTTGGATGCAGCCTGAGCATCCATAGCTTCTTGAGAGAAGATAATTCCTGATTTCTACAACTTCTGTATGTGAAAAAGATATTTCGGTTTTTGCTCCTGAAGAGCTTGACTCTAGTTTTATTTTATTCACTTGTCCTTGACTTCCCATTAGAGGAAATAGTTTCACTGTATCCATCCTGGAAGAACTTGATCAGTACCCCTCTCAGTCTTCTAAGCTTGAGATAATGAGTGAAGTTGATAGAGCCTGTGCTCAACTTTCCCCTCTTAAGCCCTGATTTGGCACGTGAGCATCCACTTCGAAACAGTCATAAGAAGGGTAAGGAAAGGAGCCACCCTTCTTATGCATCCATCAGAATCAATCTGGGATTCAAAACCAGTGGCGTGTTGCCTGTCAGTGTGTTAAAGACCTTGCATAAGGGACAATGTTCCTTTCTCAGCCTATAATCCATCTTGCTTAACATCTTGTGTGTAAAATATGGATTTTAAAATGAAACCTGCATTAGCTCTGCATGTCAAATGTATGGTTTTACAGAGTTTAAAAAATCATTATGACTGTGAGATTATTCCACATTGAGATTGACCCTGCATGCAGTGGATTTTGGTGCAGTCTTGCTTCCCTTAATTTACATAGTTAATGCTGCAAACGGCTATTTTAAATTTTATGGCCTTAAAATGATCAAGAATCTAATTTGAATAGAGGCTTCTGGTCTGCATTTCCTCTTTATGCAGCCGGTGCAAGGCTGTGTTTTCTGTTTAAATTTTATTTTGGGTATCTGTAGGAAGCCTGCTGCACTTCAATTTCCTTTATAGATTTTTCTTTCTGCACAGTATTTTATGCAAAATGTCATATCAAACAGACCAGGTGGACAGTTTGCCTGGCTCTTTGCCGTTGCTGCTATTACGGTTACAAGCTGCTTCCATATTGGCACATGTTTGACTTGGACTTCAGGGGATGGTTGGGGAGGGTGTTGGTGGCTGGAACTGTGGAAAGCTTTGTGTCCTTAAAAGACCGGGCCTATGATTCTGTTATGACAAGAAGGAAGTCAGATTTTTACATTTAGTCATATGAATGCTGTATGTCAGTACTGGTCTCCTGGAGGCCAGTGAAAAGTAAACTTTCCTCCTTTTGGTTGAGCACCTTTTTCACTGGGAAATTTTGCTTTGGTTTGCATTTGAAGAATTTTTCTCTCTTTTACGCATGCATAATGTTTTTGATAATAAATGAGAAGAGTTTAGTTTTATTAATATGAAGCTGAGCATTATACGGGAGGAATGACGGTTCTTTTAAGTGAATTAGTACAAACAAGATGACAGATATTATGTCCCTAAAGTATATACAAGAAATAAAGTCTTGGATTTATATAGTACATTTCATGACCTCAGGACATCCCAAAGCACTTTACGGTGAATTAAGTCCTTTTGAAATGTAATAGCTATTGTAATGGAGGAAATGGGGCAGCCAGATTGCACACAGCAAGGTCCCACAAGAAGCAATGTGATAATGACCACTTTTTTTTTAATGTCAATGGTTAGGATGCTGTGGAGACCTCCTCTGCTGTTCTGAAGAATAGCGGTATAGGATCTTTTACATCCACCTGAGAAGGAAGCCAGTTTAATGTTTTTCTGAAAGGTGAAAGCTGCAACCCTCTTATTCTTGTATTGAACTGATTTTGGCAAATTGGATCCACAACCGCAGGAAGTGCTACACCTGCCCCTACACCTCCCCCCTCACCCCCATCCCAGGCCCCAAGAAGACTCTCCACATCAAGCAGATGTTCACCTGCACATCTGCTAATGTGGTATACTGCATCCGCTGTTCCCGTTGTGGCCTCCTCTACATCGGGGAAACCAAGCGGAGGCTTGGGGACCACTTTGCAGAACACCTACGCTCGGTTCGCACTAAACAACTGCACCTCCCAGTCGCGAACCATTTCAACTCCCCCTCCCATTCCTCAGACAACATGTCCATCCTGGGCCTCCTGCAGTGCCGCAATGATGCTACCCGAAGGTTGCAGGAATAGCAACTCATATTCCGCTTGGGAACCCTGCAGCCCAATGGTATCAACGTGAACTTCACAAGCTTCAAAATCTCCCCTCCCCCTACCGCATCCCAAAACCAGCCCAGCTCGTCCCCACCTCCCTAACCTGTCCTTCCTCCCACCTATTCCCTCCTCCCACCTCAAGCCCCACCCCCATCTCCTACCTACTAACCTCATTCCACCCCCTTGACCTGTCCGTCCTCCCTGGACTGACCTATCTCCTCCCTATGTCCCCGCCTCTTTGACCTGTCTGTCTCCTCTCCACCTATCTTCTTCTCTATCCGTCTTCTATCCGCCTCGCCCCACTCCCTATTTATTTCAGAACCCCCTTCCCCTCCCCCATTTCTGAAGAAGGGTCTAGGCCCGAAACATCAGCCTTCCTGCTCCTCTGATGCTGCTTGGCCTGCTGTGTTCATCCAGCTCTACACCTTGTTATCTTGGATCCACAATTAGCTGAGTGGCTGGAAGCATAGGGTGTTTCTCTGGCTGAGAGTCTGTGTCCAGTGGGCCCCTGCAGGGGTTATTGTTGAGGCCCTTGCTGTTTGTGGTTTACATAAATGATTTAGATTTGAATGTAGGAAGGTTATCAGTAAGTTCACAGATGATATAAAAAAAATTAGTGATAAATAGTGAAGGGGATAGCCTTAGCTGATAGGGAACATAATGTGAGTGATGCAGTTGGGCAGAACAAACAATGCAGTGTAGGATTCTAGGAAGCACCGAAGATCAGAGGGGCCTTGGTGTGCATTTCCTCCGGTCCCTAAAGGTATCAGGACAGCTAGATAAAGTAATTAAGAAGACATATGGCATATTTGCCTTTATTAGCCTAGGCATAGCATTTAAGATCAGAGACACTATGCTGGAACATTATGAAACATTGGTTGGGCACAGCTAGAGTGTTAGGTGCATATCTGGAATCCACATTAAAGGAGAGATGTGATAGCACTGGAGAGGATGCAAAAGGAGATTTACCAGGATGTTTCTTGGGCGGAAGGGTTCTAGTTATGAAGAGAAATTGGATAGATTGGGATTGTTTTCCTTAGAGCAGAGGAGATTGTGAGGGGACATGATTGAGATGTATAAAGTTGAGGGGTGTATATAGGGTAAGCAGGAAGAAACCTTTACTCTTGGTGGAGGGATCAGTGACCAGATGACATAGATTTAAGATAGAGGCAGAATGTTTAGAAGAAATCTGAGACAAAACGTAATCACCCAGAATGTGGCAGGTATCTGAAACTTGTGGCCTGTAAGGGTGTTAGAGGTAGAAACTCATCATTGTTAATAAATATTTAGATGTGCACTTGCGATGCCAAGGCTTACAAGGCTATGGGCCAAGTGGGTTTTGACCGGCGTGGTCGTGTTGGGCCGAAGCACCTTTATTTATGGTGTAAATCTCTATGATTCTATGGCTGATTCATAGCTACAGCTTTGTGTAGTTATGTGGTTAATAACGTTTTTTTGTTGGAAAGCTAGAACTCATTTTAAAGTGAGAACAACAAATGGGGAAGAGTTTTTAAAAATTCATTCAAAGGATATAGGTGTCGCTGGCTAAGCCAGCACTTATTTACCATGTCTAAGTGATGGTGAGTTGCCTTCTTGAACTGCAGCAGTCTACTTGGTATAGATACACCCACAATCCCATTAGGGTGGGAATTTCAAGATTTTGGCTCAATGACACTGAAGGAACAGGGATATATTTCTAAGTCAGGACAGTGAGTGCCTTATAGAGGAACCTGCAGATGATGGTATTCCCATGTATCTGCTGCCCTTGTCCTTATAGATTATAATGGAGGAGTCTTTGGAAAGTGCTGTTTTAGGAACCCTGGTGAATTTCTGCAGTGCAGTTTGCAGTACATACTGCTGCTACTGAGTGTCAGTGGTGGATGGAGTGGACGTTTGTGGATTTGGTGCAATAAATGGGCTGCTTTTTCCTGGATGGTATCAAGCTTCATGAATGTTGGAGCTGCACTCATCCAGCTAAATAGGGAATATTCCATTACATTCTTGACCTGTGCTTTGTAGGTAGTGGACCGGCACTAGAGTTAAGTGAGTTCTCATTTCTAACTTCTGAATTACTATTGTACCACAGTATTTGTATGGCTAGGACAGTTTAGTTTCTGGTCAACGGTAACCTCCAGAATGTTGAAAGCGGAGGATTCAGTGATTGTTATGCCATTGAATGTCAAGGGACAATTAGCTTCTCTCTTGTTGGAGATGGCCATTGTCTGACACTTCTGAGATGCGAACGTTACTTGCCACTTGAGACTGAGCTTGAAAATTTTCTAGGTTTAACTGGATTGGGACATGGGATGCTTCAGTATCTGAGGAATCGCAAAAGGTGCTGAACATTGTGCAGTCATCAGTGAGCATCCTCACTTCTGACCTTATGATCGAGGGAAGGTGATTGATGAAGCAGCTGAAGATGGTTGGGCCAGGACACTGCTCTGCGAAACTCCTGCAGTGATGTCCTGGAGTTGAGTTGACTGACCTCCAACAACCAAAATTTCTTCCTTTGTGCTAGGTATGACTCGAGCCAATGGAGGGTTGATGCAACACTCTGTCAACTGCGGCCTTGATGTCAAGGGCAGTCACGCTCACCTCCTCTCTGGAATTCAGCTCTTTTGTCCATGTTTGAACCAAGGCTGTAATGAGGTCAGGAGCTGAATGGCCCTGGCGGAACCCATACTGAGCATCAGTAAGCAGTTGTTTCTACGTAAGTGCTGCTTGTTAGCACTTTCCATTACTTTCCTCATGATTGAGAGTAGACTGTGCAGTATATGGTTGGGTTGGATTTGTCCTGCTTTTGTTGTGTAGGACAAAGCTGATAGTGAGGGCTTAGCTGCACTGGAAAAATTAATCCTGGCTTGATGTCTTTCTTTGCAACATACAAGGATGATTGTCCACTAGAACTGGTTCTTACCATAGTCATTTGATACTCATTCCTTTTTATTATCTGCCAAGAGCTTATATGGGCATTTGCTGATCTGCAATGTATCCTTAAAAATGCTAGTGTATGTATTAGTGATCGTTTACAGACCAACAGATACCCATTAATAACTACACTAGTGTTATCAAGGGCAAGTTGCAATTTTCTTTACTGTCCAGAGTGATACTAAAGTTTTCATTTAAGATATTGCGTTCATCGAGGCTAGAATCAGCTGTCAAATGGGTCCTTGTAAAGCCCCTTTGTTTTTAACACAATACATTGAGTTAGTGTATCACCAGTCCTCAAACTCACCTTGCTTTGCCCTTCTTAAATTGGTCTAAGCATTGTGAAATGGTTAGCTTTCCATTCTGGGTAGGTTTTGCTGTAGAGCACTTTTCCTAATAAATGTGCCTATAACATGAGTATTAGTGTTTCAATTGCATGGCTAAAATAAAATTCACTTGGGAATAACAAATTGCATTCAGAGAAGCTCAAGGGTGTCACGCCAGTTGTTACGTGATGCTTATTCAACTTTCAGAAAGAAAATAAACCTTTCTGTGGGCATCATCCAAATTTGTGGTTGTTTCAGATTCTTAATGTTTTTAATGTAGTAATAACAACAATTATTTGTTAATGAAGCGTACTTTTAATGGGTTTTCTGTCTTGTCGTATCTTAAATTAACCAGTTTTCATTGTAAATTATCTGTTACTTGTCAGTCTTATTTATTAATGAGAGAGTGTACTTACACTGGTCGGGTGATGTTCCTCTGTTTGTAGGCTCTGGATTATTGCCATAGTATGGGAATCATGCACAGAGATGTGAAACCACACAATGTTATGATAGACCACGAGCACAGAAAGGTAACAAATTAAACACAATTACTCAGTACTTAAAGGTACGTGTGCCGTCATTCCTTTGTAATGCGTTGTGGTAACCATTTAAAATTGGCACCAAAGCCTATCTCGTACATGTTGTGCACTTTTTGACCTCCACCAAGCATCCTTTGAAAAATAATGATGAGTGCAAATTGAAAAACAAAGTATCTTTTATCAGCAATACTCAAATTCTGTATTCCCAAACAACTATTTGAATTCTCCTTTTCTTAATTCATGGGGAAGAAAGAAGTGGCTGCCTTCAGTTAGTTGTCCGTTGTGTTCTTGAAATGTACTTTTAAGATTTTTTAAAAAGCTGGAAATGGCATGTTATTTAGCAGTTGAAGGATGTTGTTGTGAAACACCTTTTCAAGGCTCAGTGAACCCTTTGAATTGAAGTTGCACTAAATTAAAAGAGCAGTGCAATGTAAAATAAAACCCTGTATAACACTCAACTTGTTCACTTCATTTCTTTTGGGATTGTGTTTTCAAAGACCAGCTCAGCATTAAGATAACTTTAGACATGTAATAATAATACTTTGCTATACTGAAAGCTATTGCAGAAATCCCAAGCATTAAGAATTGGAAGGGGTGATCAAGTGCAGTCACCTCAATCCTGGTTAAACTAGTATCAAACTGAAACTCCCAAGTTGTGATTAATGTGCATAAAGAATAGAATTATTGACTGTGGACCATTCTAGTGTCATTCAAAACATTGATATACTTTGTAACCTGTTGTCAGTTTGATCTTTTCTGGACAGGAACATGGGATTTAGGAGCAGGAGTAGGCCATTCAGTCCTTAGAGCCGCTCCATTCGTCAATAAGATCGTGGTTATCTGGTGTGGTCTCAACTCCACCTTCCTTCTCCTAACTTAACTTTGAATAAATTCAATGACCCAGCCTCCATTCACAGACTAAAAAACCTACAAGGAAACAATTTCTCCCTACCTTCATCTTAAAAGTGGAAATCTTTTAAATTGTACATGTAAATATTTTCTTTCAACTAAATTACCATTACCCCAGCTTCAATTGTAGGGATCATGCAGTAGTTGTTGACACTCCATGGCTAGTAGTGGATTAGTTTGGGAGGACAGTTCAGCCAAGACTTTAGAACGAAGGGTTACATATATTTACTCAAATGATTCCTTGTGGCTTAACGTTTAGGGCTCAGGTGAAATAAGCAAAGTCTGGCTATACTCCCTGAAATTTAGAGGTTTAGATGATTTAAGTTTTTGAGATATTAAGGGACTGGATATGGTTTATTGGGAGAAACTGCTTCTATAATTTGGAAAGTCTACGACAAGAGAGCAAAGTCTTTTTAAAAAAAAAAATCAAGCAGACCTATTGGGAGTAAAATTTAAAACCCTTCACCAAATAGAATTTTGGTGAATTTTAAACTTTTTAAGATTGACAGTTGGTTCAGGCACATTAAAACTATGAAGGGAAGTTACAGGTTGACAATAATTTTGTGGGAAGAAGTCAAATGACTTATTTGTGGTATAATGCTCCTGATTGCTATCCACTGAACTTTGGGAAGTTACGGTCAGAATTGATTGCCAGTGATGGTTTCTGATTGTTCACTAACTCAGATACTGCATGCTTAAAATCGCATATGAAGCACCGGATGCTTAAATGCAGTAACGGGAAACTGCCAGGGTTGCAGAGCATATCCCAGCAAGAGTCACTATCATTGAGAAAGATGGGAAATAAACTACTGTCAACCATCCAATATTAATGACTCTTAATAAATTTGTCAGTTAAGAATAGCCTTCTCACTCCATATTACAACCTGTTTCTGATTTGTGGTTATCTGTGTTTAGTTGCGACTGATTGACTGGGGTCTGGCAGAGTTCTATCATCCTGGACAGGAATATAATGTCCGAGTGGCCTCCAGGTACTTCAAGGGACCCGAACTACTTGTAGATTATCAGGTGAGAAAAACATTTCTTTTTGCAGTTGTAAGCTCTTGTGTGTAATGAATTCATTTGAGCTGACCATACTGTAGCATTCTTAGATTACAACCATGTTCTTACAGTTTAGTGATTCTTCCGTTTTAATACCGGTGAGAGGTGTTTTGGAGTTGAAGTTAATTTAAACTGATATATTGCAATTATGGAGTATAGAACATAGAATTCCTTGTTACGTTATGGGTTTTAACACTTTTCCTCGGGTTCGTACTGGCACAAGCCACTTGATAAGCAAATTCCCTTGTTCTCTACAACCAATATCATGGTAAGTATAAACGAGGGTCAGACTTAGAGCCCTAGATGGTATTTTCTGCTTTACAGTATATGTCACATGACGCCATGAGATTACACCAGCTGCAGCAAAGTAAAGGTCATCAGACAATGACTTAGATAATTAAAGTACTTGTCAGATTAATTGAATTGTAAAGTATTAAAATAAGAATTATTGTATATTTAAACAATTATTGTGGTGTTAAAATCTTAGTAAAATGCTCAGTTTTATGATTCTAAAAACTTGAAATTTTAAAATGCACCATGTCCATCTCCCCTTGTAAATTTTTTTAAGAGCATTCATAGATGGAGTGACTGGATTATCTCAAGGCAAGATTCAAATCCAGCTGTGACTAATCGAATCTAATGTCTACCTGTTTTCAGTTAACTCATTTTGCTTAAGAATTTTATCGTAGCCAGCTTAACCAATTTTGGGTATGGTTTCAGCTTGCTTGTTTGTTTGTGCTTCTGCTCTCTTGCACACTCTCTTGCACTGTCTCTTGCTTCCTTTCTCACTTTCATGTGCTTTCTGTAGCATTCAGGCCAGCCTTGGCCATCACCTCCATTTCCTAATTGAAATAAAAATGGCTGAATACTTGGGTTGGGGATGGAGGGGAAGCAGTGTCAAGAACACGTATAGAAATTGCTGGAGAAACTGGGTAGGTCTGGCAGCATCAGTGGAGAGAAAGCAAAGTTAACGTTTCAGGTCCACTGACTTTTCTTCAGAACCATTCTGAAGAAGGGTCACTGGACTTGAAACATTAACTCTGCTTTCTCTCCACAGATGCTGCCAGACCTACCCAGTTTCTCCAGCAATTTCTGTCTTTCCCTCAGATCTTTAGCATCCACAGTTCTTTGTTTTATTCAAGAACACACAGTTTATTTGCTCATTTTTTGGAAAGAGCAATATTGGAAATGCTGAATGTGCCACAATAGATGTGCTGTGCTGAAAATTTTCTTTTACTGATTGAGGATAAGATTTGCTTGATTCTGTATTTTAAGTGATGAGAGTAAGCATTTGAAGAGAAAAGGTGACTTGTTTTGGATGTACATCTTTTGCCAGACTTGTAAGCTGCCTAACCACAAAATGCTTTTTTTTGTTTTTTGCTCTGTTGAACTCCAACCACTAGCTCCCCCCAGGAGCTGAAACCAGCAAGTCAAATGCTCGGGTTCTCAATTACCAAAAGTAAATCCTGTACTGCAACTTCACCAACTGTAAATTTTCTTGTTAACAGCCGATCAGACGTTTCTTAATATCTTTTATCTGGGCAAAGTAGCGACTGAGCATTTGAACTAGGATTTTTCCAGAACCTGACATTAATTTGTCAGTTCTGAACTTGCCTGTAATTGTGAAAAATAAAAATTGTCTATCCTAGATGAAATCAAACCGCATATAAGGAGAGCATGTAGCCCTTCTTTGGCAGGATTAGTTAGGGTTAGCCCTTTTTTTAATCTATAGCTTCACAGTTTTTTTCACTTTCAAGTTTGCGCTGAGTTACCTTTTGATATTTAAAGTTGTGTTTGTTTCCAGCACCCTTTTGGAGAGTATTGTAGCTTGCTACATTTTTTGCCATATATTTTGAATCTTGTTCTCCATTTACTGACTTCCCTCAACCAGTGATCAGTTTCTGTATAATTATGGATCTCAAATTTTGAACACTTCCATAAAATCTCTCCTTGGCCTTTTCTATGCCAAGGACGACAGTCCTTGCTTTATCAGTCATAGTAGCTACATTCCATCATCCCTGGCTACCATTCTCATAAACTCTTCTATACCCTCTAAAGTCTTGATCTCCTTTCCAAAGTGTTGTAGCCAGAATTGTGTGCAGCTGAAGTAGTGGGGTAACCAACAATAAAGATTTAACATAACTCCACATTTATATACTGAATGCTTCTGTTTATAAACACACAACTCTTGAATGACACTTTCAAAAAAATTTGTCACTGTTCTTGAGGGAAAAACATTTTGTGGACACTAATTATCCCCTCCCCCCAATCGCCCAGGTTTATTCTCTCACCCCCAACCCCCCAGAAGTCCCCAGGATATATATTTGGTTCCTCAGCAGTCTTCTGAAAATTCATTGCTATTGACTGAATGAAATCCTTGAGAGGATTTTTCCATTAAGAAAATATTATTCGCCTTTTTGGTTTCTAGAAAACCATCACTTAATTTCAATATGCTTTTGTGATCGTTATAGGAAATCTGAACACTTCAAACCATTGTGAATTCAGAGTCATCAACAGCTGCTACATCATTGATAACAGTGGCACCTTCGTTACCATGATGTAACATGAAGTGCTAGTAATAATAACAGTAAATCATAATTTGGCCTTTCTGTAATCTTGAGATACTAAGAATGTTGAGCAGCAAGAGTGAGATGATGTGCTGTTTTAATTGCAAAACACTGCCTTCTGTCCAGATTTTCTGCTTTATAAATCCCTTGTTGCCATAAACAAAGTGCCCTACTATACTGAGGCAATGGCCCATGTGGAGAGATAGGAAAACAGTAGGTAACTCTCTTATGTAATGCTTTCACACACTGCAGGAAGCATCTGCTTCATAAGTTCTGCAGGCAGGCTGGCACAGAAGATAAATAAAAACCAAAAGAACTGCGGATGCTGTAAATCAGGAACAAAAACAAAGTTGCTGGAAAAGCTCAGCAGGTCTGGCAGCATCTGTGAAGGAGAAAACAGAGTTAACGTTTCGGGTTCAGTGACCCTTCCTCAGAACCTTCCTGTTCTGAGGAAGGGTCACCAGACCCGAAACATTAACTCTGTTTTCTCCTTCACAGATGCTGCCAGACCTGCTGAGCTTCCACAGAAGATAAATAGTCTGGGGATGTGGGTGGGTGCAGAATGTCCTTCAGTGCTTTGAGGATGTGGGGAGAATACTTTTTTAAGCTGTTTCTTTTTTTCAAGGCTGGTTTTAATTTTAAGACACTTTGATAGATTGAGGAGATTGGATATTACATAGTACTTTGTTTATGTTGATGTATTCAAATAATGTGCAATGGACAAAAATATGATAACAGATGAAGCTCTCTGGCTTCTACAGAGGTTGCAGTGTTAGAATTGAGATGGTGGAGAAAACATAACACTTTGGATCATTTCATTAAATCCTATGTCTGTTCTCTCTGTGATCTGATGATTATTATGAAGCAAGATGGCATTTTAGGAATCCCCAAAACTCTGCGCACTCCATTCATATCCCATTAGAAGTATGATACATCTGTTTTTGGATTGCAATTTCTGAATGCTCATCATTAGCAACTTATTGCACAATATATAACAACCTTTCTTTATAGTCACTTTGGTTATTCAGTTCAATGCAGTCTTCATTCTGGAAAGGTATCTTATGGTTGGGATTCCTGCCCAAACTTTGGTGGAAGGAGAAGAGATCATATTGCACATAGTTAATGGAATTAGATGAGAAGGAAATATAGATCAGCTTACATCCTTTGGTAAGAGTACTACCACTGAGCTGAGTCAGAAGGTTATGTGCTCAATTTGCACTCCATGGTTGAATGCATAATTTCTGCTTATATTCTAGAGGGCTACTTCAGAGAATGCAGCATAGTTGTACTGTTTTTTTAGATATGATGTTAAACTGAGGGCCTGTTTCACATCTCAGGCATAGAAGCACGGGGTTATTTTCCTGGTATCTGTCCAGTAAATATATGTATCACCCTCGCTAATGCTGCTAAACATTTAGTTGTTTATTTCATTCCTGTTTGTGATTGTGCTTTATGCAAATTGATTGCTGTAGTTCCCTATGGTGCAGAAGTGAAAGCATTTTGGAGGTATTCCTTTTGTCATAAAGCAGTTTGGAATATTAGAATATTCTGAGGTTGTGAAAGACACTACATAGATGCAAGTTATTCTTTTTATAATGCTAAATTCTGTGACTAGCTAAACTATGAAGCCAAAAGTGCTTCAGGCTCAATCTTGGTCAGTGCTGAGTTTAAGCGGTTAACTTCATTTAGCTTTATTGCCATAGGAAGACTACTGTTATTATCCCAGTTACAATGTTTGGATGTGTGTGGCCTATAGAGTACAGTAGGCTGCTTAATCTTCTTGTAGACTCAGTGAATGACCACTATTGCAACGAAATCCCAACAAATGATAGCAACTTAAGAAAGAGGAGAAAATTGAAAATACGTTAGTAAAATTGGTTGATGTTTTATATGGTTTGTAATTTTTTTGTGTGCAACTAGTTTATTTGAGAATGATTTCAGCACCTGAATTTCCATTTGATTCAAGCTTCTTGTCTAAGAACCAGTAAGTATTTTGAGAAAGGGCAGGAAACTTATCTTTAATGGATCTATCTCTTGTAACTAAAAGAGCCCCTTTGTATGTTACATTACTGTTGTGCCCGCTGACTTTAGCGTTTCAAAATTTTCTGAAAATAGCTGAAGTAAAGTACTTTGAATAATGTGCTCCTTTAAATGTATAGCCTACAGTTCCTTGAAGATACTTTTGCTTCCTTGCAGATGTACGATTATAGCCTAGACATGTGGAGTTTAGGATGCATGCTGGCCAGCATGATCTTCAGAAAAGAGCCCTTCTTCCATGGTCATGACAATTACGATCAGGTAAGAGTGCTGAACTTCGCTATAAACAACAGCCTATTTTTAAAATACATTCAGTGCATTTCTAATGTTGACTTTACAAAGAACTGGACACCCTCCTGCATTGCCTTCAATCTTTACACTTGACCTTGCTACTACCATTGATACAAGTCATGTCTGCTGTCTGAGATTGCAAAAAGCTCTTTTTCTTCAATGCTGGACTAATGCAGTGGGTGATGCAACCTACTTGCAACACTGCTGAAATGATGTGCTGCATTGGAGGTTTCATAAATCAAGTGTGAAAAACCGTCCCCATCTGCTGGTAGAAAAGGATACTACATTAGTTCTCTTTTAAAAATACTACTTCTCTAAGAAGTCACTGGCTAGATGTGAACGAGTAAGACATTTTAACTATTGTAGCTTATCGAGCTGAAAAGAACCTGCAGATTTCCCTCTGTGTATCTGCTTGTTGAATTATTTTTTTTTTGCCTTGAGTTGTGATGACTGAGATGGAACAATTTGACACATTGTTAATGATTATGACCTATGGAAATTTGCTGCAGTCTTCACGGCAACTACTGAACAACACACAGAGACCTAACTGCCCAGTTTGGACTTTGACTTATAAAGCTGCAAGGTGCAATAGGAGACATTCTTCTGAAGTCAAACAGCAACTTCCATTCACATAGCACTTTTAATGTAGTGAATTTTCACAAGGAGCTTCACAGGGTAGTTCTTAGTCAAACTTGAGCCCTGAGTTACATGAGGTATTATGACAGGTAGCCAAAAGTTTGACCAATATATCATTGTTTTCTGTCTTTCTAAAGACTTGATAAATGTCTGTTTAAAAAATATGTTGATCGGAATTGGAGGATCCTGAATTGGAAAGAATTATGAAACCTTGTGTTGAATTTGAATAAATTGTTTCACTTCTAAGTACAACATATTAATTCGGTGCTACCATAATGATCAAATTCAGTACAACCCAAGCAAGCTTCTTCTGTCTACATTGTTTATCATTTAAGCAAAATTCAAAGTCAGCTGTATTTTTTTGTCACTGTTTAAATTCCAGTTATGGTGTGACTGTTGTTTAATCTCTTCCTGAAGTGAGTTTAACTTGTTTCTTCTCTGTCTTTGAAGTTGGTGCGAATAGCCAAAGTGCTAGGCACAGAAGATCTGTATGACTATATTGACAAGTACAACATTGAGCTGGACCCTCGGTTTAATGACATTCTGGGCAGGTCAGTAGCCAGCACTTTTAGTGTTGAAATAGATGATTTTGTGTACTGTCTACATAAAAGATTCTTATTTGTTTCAGACATTCCCGTAAAAGATGGGAACGCTTTGTCCATAGTGAAAATCAACACTTGGTTAGCTCAGAAGCACTGGATTTCTTGGATAAGCTTCTACGATATGATCATCAAACACGTCTAACGGCACGAGAAGCTATGGAGCATCCTTATTTTTGTAAGTAATCCTCGTGCTACTTATTAGGACTTAAATCTTGTGATTCTTCCCACTGGAGTTCAGAACACCTCTTCCTGTTAGTCCACATATCCCCAAACTAATCTTTCACTTCTCAGACAGGGACTGTGTGAAAGCACAATTGCAGGGTGCATGTGGGAATGCTGAAAGGAAGTTGGTCTGGTTACCATTTTACAAACTTTGGCCAGTTAAAAGCACGATAGATTAAGAGCTATTTTGTTTGTTTGTCTGTTGTAGATTGAGGGTGGGGTTCTGTATTAGGTATGTCTTCACCAGCTGAGAAAAGATAAATTAAAAAAGATTTGTGAATGCTTCTACTGCAGATATGATTCTTTTCTGTCCTGTAGATCCAATTGTGAAAGACCAGTCCCGAATGGGCTCCTGTGCTAACATGCCAACTGGTAGCACTCCAATCAGCTCAGCCAGTATGATGTCAGGTCAGTATGTAGCAAACTTGGTATTCGATAATAATTCTCTATAGTAGCTGTGTGGGGACACATCTCTCAGCTGAAGACCACCAGATCAAAATCTGTTAAAAAGGCAATTACTGCTTTTGAAAACTCACGTTATTTAATGTATTTATGCAGGGATCTCTGCAATGCCAACCTCATCACCACTGGGACCTCTTGCTGGCTCACCAGTCATCTCTGCTACCAACACCCTTGGGACGCCGGTTCCAGCCACTGCGGGGGCTCAGCCTTAACATCGCCCTCCTGACTACTTGTAACCCTGGCAACCGCCTGGTCACCCTTCTCCCCTCCACCTCACTCCTCCTCGGAAACATGGGGAACCAGCTGGTCATGTCACATCTGAGCAGTTGCTTATGGATTCTCCGGAGTTCAATCATTTGAAAAGGAAAAAAAGTCTGATTTTTACTTGAGAATTTTTTTTTTCGTGTTTTGTATGTCACCAGACCTGGAGACAGTATATCTCTCTTAGTCCTAACTAGGCCATAATGTAATGCCTCTTTGTCAGAAATTGTTGCCTACACACTGTTCTCATGCACTTGTTCAGTGTTACCATGTTTTTCCCTTGGGTTTTGAGTGGAGTTCGAGCAGATGATGTCACATTGCGAGAGTTGTCTGCTGTAATAATTTAGTGGTTCGGAAATAATTTTCTTTGGAACATTCAAATGATTTTTTCATTAAAGTCTTATTCCCAGACATTAGAGTAAAGGGAGTAAGTGTGAGTTGCATTTTTATTGTCTAAAAACCAAATAGTGCTAAATGGAATATTGCATCTGAAATGAAACCTGTTAGGAATATGAAATACCCGAAGCACGGCATTAAATTTGTAGTGTGCTTTTGAAGGTACTCTATTGAAACTGTTGTTAATTAAGAGTATGTTTAAAAGCTAATATGTTGCTCCGACCACAAATACATTCTTTGCTTGGATTTTCCAAGCAAGTTGTGATCTTTTTTTCTCCTCTTCGTGAGCACACCACACATGATAAAACAACTATTATCAGAGTTCCAACCATGGTGGATTTGTTTTCAAACTCTTGAACTGAAGGTTTTTAATTGTTTTAAGAATGTTGAAAACGATAAAGTAGCACAGTTAACAGTTGCACCATGTTGTCAACCAATTTATATACTTATTTCTTGTTGTCTATTATTTTTTCACTTGCCTTTTATTTAAGCCAATTAAGCAGCATTTGGGGTGGGGAGGGTGATGAATTTGGAATTGGGGCTCCAAGGAATTTTGTGGACTTTGTGTAGGGAATCTTTTTCTTTTAGAAAAACGTGGAAACAAAATTGTTGATTAGAGAGAAGGTAGTTGAGTAAATACTCTGCTTGACTACATTTTATTAAACAGCCTCTGGTTATACATTCATCATCCAGTTAGGTGCATTATTTGTTCTTTCCGCTCTGCATTTTTATCATTGTGCTCTGTTATCTGCCTTCTCAGACCTGTGGTAGGCCAGGCTCAGGTCAGTGTGCCGATTCAGTCACCTGCAATTCCACTTTGAAGAGGAGCAGGTTAGATGAGACAGTTCTGCATGTCAGACATGTCCCAGGCTTGAAGATGATCGCTTGGGTGCTGAAACCTCCTGATGTTTATTTAGTGGCAGTATATTGCAATGCTAGCAAAGTTTGGAGTGGTAATACTCCTTTACATTCACTTGCAAGACTGAATGCAGAGTAATGTTTTTGTTTCAGCCCTACTCTAGCCAAATGTAACTCAAGATAAACTCTTGAAAAGATCAGTGTGAATATGTAACCTGAAAAAGTTCCACGTGGTTGTTAATCAAGAAAAGGATAAGATTTTTTTCGTGTCAGAAGAGGCAAAAAGTCCAAATTTATTCACCCATTGAACTGTTTACCAGGGAGCTACTTTCTTTGGAAGTGGAAACTTGATGCAGATGGGGTACAAAAGTAGGTGTCATTTGTGCACATTGACACACGGGTAGACAAGAGATACCTAGGCATTTGTCTGTTGTTTATTTTGTGAGGCTCTATCAATGTATGTACTGCATTGTGAGTAAAAACTGGACTCATGGGCAAACAGAAAATGACTTAATCTTATGCCAAACCCTGTGCTTTTGATGCTTGCCTGCCTTTGCCTTACCCCCTTCCTATTCCAAAGGAAGAGATCATCATTGAGTTATCATTATTGAGTTATCTTATTTAAATTTCAAAGAAAAATAAAGTGAAAGCAATAGAATTGTTATCTTCCTGGCTTATTTTGGGAAATTCCTTTTTAAGTTAATCATTGCTTTGCCAAAAAAGTGACCCAATGGAGAACAGCATTGTGGTTCAGTTTTTGTTTGATATGCAGTCTGAAATGACTGTTAAAATATTTCAGTAAGTTAATGACCATTTTGGATATTTGGGCCAGGTGCTGATTTTATTTTTGTAGTTTTGATTCAATCTATTCTGAAGCAGGATAGAAATTTTAAAGAGTTCCCACTTTGCATTATTTGAGACTACAAAGCAATCTTGATCAATGGGGCCACTTGGCTGAGGAGTGGCAGATGGAGTTTAATTTGGATAAATGCGAGGTATTGCATTTTGGTAAAATAAACAAGAATAGGACTTGCACGATTAATGATAGGGCCCTGGGCCATGTTTTAGAACAGAAGGAACTAAGGATTCAGGTACATAATTCTGTGAAATTTACATCACAAGTAGACAGGGTGGTTAAGAAGGCCTTCTTAATCCGCCTTCATTGCTCAGAGCTTTGAGTAAATGAGTTGGGACGTCATGTTGAGGTTGTGCAGGACGTTGGTGAGGCCTCTTCTGGAGTACTGTGTGCAGTTCTGGTTGCCCTGTTATAGGAAGGATATTGTTAAACTGGAGAGGATCCAGAAATGATTGACCAGGATGTTGCTGGGAATGGGGCGTTTGAGTTACAAGGGTAAGCTGGATAGGCTGGGACTTTTTTCGCTGGAGCGTAGGAGATTGAGGGGTAACACTTAATGGTAGGGCCTTGAGTCATGTTGTAGAACAGAGAAGCCAAGTGGTTCAGGTACATAATTCTTTGAAATTTACATCACAAGTAGAGAGGGTTTTTAGAGGTTTATAAAATCATGAGGGGCATAGATAAGGTGAATAGCAAAGGTCTTTTCCCTAAGTGAATGAGTTCAAAACTAGGAGACATATTTTTAAGGTGAGAGGAGAAAGATTTCAAACGGACATAAGGGGCAACTTTTTCTGCTCGGAGTGGTTAGTGTGTGGAATGAACTGCTAGAGGAAGTGGTGGATGCAGGTACAGTTACAATGTTTAAAGACATTTGGATGAGTACATGAATAGGAACGGTTTGGAGGGATATGGGCCAAACACAGGCAGGTGGGGCTAGTTTAGTTTGGGAACATGATCAGTGTGGACTAGTTGGATCAAAGGGTCAGTTTCCATGCTGTATGACTCTATCACTTTAACTGGTATAAATAGACAATGCACTTTTTCGCACCTGTTTTCTCTCTGAATTCACATTCCATTTGATGCTGATGGTTCATTAGCACAATGATGCAACAGTGCATCACAGATGTTGCAGTTTCACAGTAAATATTTTTAGCCCCTTCCCTTTTTAATTTTCTAGCATTTCTAGGCCTTGGATTTAGAGTTCCATTAGTTGAGAGATCAAAATGCTTTTCAAATTTGAAATTCGAGCAGAACGAACTTGTCTTAATTCAGGATCTGTGGCAAAATTGAGAATACTTCTAAAGACAAACTGATAAAATGCCCAAAGAAAGATTTCTTGTGATACAGTGCACATCATATAACTTGTATAGTTTATGGCTGTGTCTCGGTTCACGTTTACAAACCTTGTATCTATGTCATGCTACTGTGCAACCGTTAAGAAGTGGATGTCAATATTTACTAACTGTTCACTATGAAATATGAAGATACCAAGAAGTGGGTTCAAGATTGGAATAAAACCTATATATGAAAGAGGGGGCTTGATAAACATTACAGAGCTGATTGTTGTTCAATCCTAAAAGTTTATGGTCTTCTTTAAACAGTTGGTTTGAATTGCAGTCTTGTAAAAGCACTTGGGTATCTCGTTCATATTGTATCACTGCAGTACACTGGTTCCACTGTTCAATATTGCTGTGCTTATAAGCACCATCTAGTTGTAGAGAATCAACAGCACATAATTTTTGAAATTCTTGGGTCCACTTCAATGTATGTATATATTGATACAACAACCTCAGCCCTTGGAGAAGTGATGATTAAAATAGTCATCATTGAACGGCATATAGAATGTATCTATTGTTTTGAATTTCCTACCGAAACCAATAATATGTTTTAAAGTTCTAAGCTTCAACACGTTAGACGTTGCCTCTTTTTTTTCAAAGACTATGGCCATTTACACTTATTTACACAATTAAATGGAGCTGATTGTTATCCTGCAGTCTTAGGAATAACTGATTTAGTTGTGAAATGCATTTAGATTTGACAGATGATCTGTCAGAAAATAAATTGCTAAAATTACAAGTCTGTGCTTTGTTTTAACATTAATCGGAGAAGTATTGGAAATCCGTTTTATAGTAAATTTCTTGTGAACCATCATATCGAAACACCTATGGTTGTGGTATGGATAAACCCAAACCGCTAATCACTTGGCAAGCCCAGTTTGTTACAGAAACACAACTTCTCACGGTGTCATGGTCATGACAACACAAACATTACGTTTCTTATGCTGTATAATATCTTGATTTTAGATTTTTGTTTTGATTGATAGCCTATAGAACATTCAGAAACATTGTTTCCTTAATTGCATTGAGTGACAGGAATGGAATTATAATTGCTGAGCTTTCCTTCTGGATTTTTAAGCACAGTCTGATATACCCAAGTAGATTGGAGATCTCTGTTCTAGTCTTTTCTGTCCTTCTCCCCATTGTCTACCATTTCCCCAAGCTTTTGCAGCATTTTTCCCCTCCTTCAATTGAATGCCATGGAGTAGTCAGTAGTTCATGTTTTCACGGACAGAGGAGTGGACAATGCTGATGCTGACCCAAGATTTCATGGTTGTGATTATTATCTCTCAACTATTTAAACTAACTGGTGATACTTTATAAGAGATGAATCATTGTCATTTATTCCAGTGCTCCCTTTTTATGCTGCACAATCTCTTTGCCCAAAGCTACAGCATTCTCAACTAAATGGCAGTTACCTCCAGGAAGCAAACCGGAAGCATTCAATGATAATCCTGTCATGTAAAACTTCAGCAATTCAATAGTAAGTTCCTTTATTAGGGTTATGGGATATTAATGCAGTGCTGCAGCTTTTTCACAGGAGCTCAGCTTTGCATATAATGAGCCAACAACAGAAGTGGGTTGGAGAAAGGGAAGATGGTCATTAAATTGCTGTGCCAAGATTGTTATCTATTAATTCAGGTAAAATTGATTGGATAAACATATAGATTGGTTTTCGAATTCTGAATTTGTGGTGTTTTTATGTACAGGCTAGTGTAATTGCATTTCTTTTGAGTTATGTGCATGCAAGCATTTTCAGTACCACTGACACGATATTTAGCAGCTACAATGTTCTGAAAGAGCCTGAGTTGATATTGAATAATGGTACAGTGTGTAAACATGCTTTGGCATGTTGAGGCCAAATGAAATACCTTGCCTGTGTAAAACCCACCGAAGCTGTCTGAAGAGGTCCTGCGTAGAACATTGCTACAATATTGAGAATTCTCATCTGATGAAGGCGACCTGTATA